TGTGATCATCTAAGAAGAGTATATATCGTAAGTAGAAAAATAGTTATAGTGGCAAACAAACTTCAATAATAAGTCAATATTTATTTACCTAACAGGTAAAAAGAATGACCATGGGCGGGCAAAAAAGCAGTAGGAGCGGGAGTGATTTCTGACTTCCTGCCAGCTTCCCCATTGACTTTGCTTGTGGGAAGCTGGCAGGGAGCACTGGAAATCATTATCACAATGGCCACAACTTTGCAAATAAAACTGGTCTGAAGATCATGGAAATTTCAACTCCACAGAAGTAATGGGTCCTGGATTTTTTACGTATTCTTTAAGATAGCAGATTTTAGGTACCTTGATTTAAAAATTGTTGCGGTATAATGCACCGTTTGGGCTAAATTAAGGGTACAAACAGACAAACAGTTAAACACAATGAGAGTTTTAGTAGCATATATATACAAACAAACACATGCATGCATACATACAAGAATGAAATAATCAAGGCAGAGAAAGACAGCAGTGCTTTTTAGGCATCTGGTATATATTTGCAGGAAAAAGAATAAACCTTTACCTCAGTCTCTAGGAACCTTCGTAAAGCCCTCTTTTTTTTAATGCTCTTACGTCTCACATAAACTGCAAATGTAAGGCCCAAAATGACAATGATGAAGAGTCCTCCAATCACTCCGGCAGCAATCAGGGGGGTTCTGCAAATCAGGACCCAAGAATAACTCTGAATCACAGGAATAAGATTGTGTGCATACGTTCAAATTAAACTTTAGAAACACATGGACATTTATGGAATTGTGCTGTTAGTTTTGCTACATTCTAAAACAAAAACAGAGTAAGGGTATGACAAAGGTTTTCTTTACCATATTTGTTCCGGGATTGTTTGTTTTTAGAAACACAAACAAACCAACAGCCATCATGCAAGCTTTGGGGAGAAAGAGGGGACTAGATGGATGAAAAGGCAGTCCAACATATGGTTTAAAAAAAAAAAACTTAATGAAAAAACAAAGGCTTACATGAAAATGCTTAATGGAGAAATCCTACAAAGCCCAATATCGGTTGGGTCCTTCTTCCCTAGGGGACCGTCTTCTCCAGACAGAATCTTCCCTCCTGTAAGCCCCACTAGGTGGACCAGACCAGGAAATCAACTCCACAGGAAGGCTAACCTTACTCTTATTGAGACTGGCCATAAAAACAGAATCTTGCAAGTCTGTGCTGGACCTCCTTCTCCTCCTCATAGTTCAGTGAATTGGGGGCAGGGAAGGGGTGTCTGTCTGAGCCACTTCCAAACATCATTGGGACATTCTGGGTTATAAAAATGTGTTAGCCATTGTGGCCTTGGCAAGGGAGCCTGCATATCTCCATTAAGGTCATCTTCTGTGCTCTCTACAGTACCTTACACAATCTGGCCAGGAAAGGATGCTGCAGATACCTACACCTAGAAAGATCGGGGTGGGGTGTGGCATTCTCAGTGGCTGCCCTCTCAGTCAGCCCTTTGTGGTCAGGCCAGTCCCCATCCTTTTATCCTTCAGGAAACAGGTGAAAAAACACCCTCTTCCACAGGGCCTTTGGAGAGTGAGTTTTAATGAAAGACAGAATTTAAAAGATATTTTTTAGAGGCTTTCATTTTTATGTTTATAGGTTTTTATGGGTGTTGCAGTGTAACTGCTGTCATTTGAGTAGGCAGCATGCAAATATTTGTAATAAATAAATGAATCCACGTTTGTGCATTAAGGTATGTTGCCCCTTTCCAGTACGACCTCATGATCATTCCAGCAAGCATCATAGAAAAAAAGAAGACAGAAAAACCACCACAGGCTGGCTCATTGTTAGCAGCACCCCAGACTTTTTAAAACCTTGAACTATCTACTTTGTACGCTTTTGTTAAAAAAAAAAAAAAACTGCTAGCCCCATCCAACTCTCCTGTTTTACGCCTGCCACCATTTTTTCTTTATAAAATCCCAACCCGAAAAAGTGCCAGATAAAAATGCAGCACAGCCCTGTGAAAGGAAGCAACAGAAGAAAGCAGGGCCAGTGAATTTAATTAGCTTCATCAACCATTTCTTGTATCGAGGGCCATTTCTCTGGAAGGAAATTCTTCAAGGCTTACTGTACTATTGATTGGTGAGGAAAGAGCTGAAGTTGGGCCAGCCTGCTCTCTTCTGGATGGATCCCATCAGATCTGTCTTTTCAAGCCTTACTTGGACTGCCAGGTTTGAGGAGTTTGACTGCTGTGTGAATATTAACACAGTCTCCATATAGTTCACAGTTTCTGCACTTAACTCCATTAACATTCTTGGTCCTTCATCTGCCCACACAAACTGAACACATAAACACTAAGAAAAGTTGCTGCCAAAGCAAAGATTTTAACTTGATTGCTCTTTATCTGTACAAGGGCTAGATGCTAACACTTGACCCATAACATTTATTCTTTCCAGTGTCATGAAGACTGTTTAATGACTTTGGATGCTGAACACCATCTGCAGAAGATGAGTTAATGAACACATTCCTTGCCTGATATACTACAGTATTGTAATAGCTGTGACTGACCTTGGTTCACATATATCCACCAAAAGACACTGACATTATCATATTTAAAACAGAATGGCACTCTCATTATCATCGGAGACTACAAAGGTAATCTATGACTATGAAAGGAAGACTATAAAAGTTAAATGCAAATATTTTCCTTGCTCTTTCTTTGTCCTTAAGGCAAAATGGAGTAATTTGATTTCTCCTATCCGGTTCTATGTCCATCCTAAGCATTTCTTCTGACACTGAACAGATCAAACTGTACTCTAAATTGATTGGGTTCACAGATCATACTGTGCTATAAAACATGATTTACAAACACAATGGCTAAATGTGCAGAACATGCTACCCAAAACCAAACAAACCACATTGTGGTGTGACCTGGTATGTTAATCAAGCCAGTATGTGATGGATCCCTATAGCCAAAACAAAGATGTTTTGGCCCAATATGCTGCCAGAATGTGAAACTGTCTAAACATTAGATGAGTTCTTTGGAGAAAGACTGGAGGATAAAAGTAATTAAGAATACTATTTCTAAACTTTTGGTACAGGTGAGTTGCAAAGCGAATACTTTATAAAGATACATTAGAAAAAAGCGTTGACTTCTTAAATAGTAATGAAAATTAGGTTTAATCTAGAATAGATTAAGAATGTTCATGATAGCAATGTTCCTATATATGGTACATGGATGAGTGCACATATATGCACACACATGCACACTTTCACATACAGAAGGCTATAGGCTAGTTAGATTGCCCGTCAAAGAGAGGGAGAAACCTGATGTTGCAGTTGCCTCTCACCTTTCCACCAGCTCAGAGCCAGACTATTTCTGAGAACTGAAATCCCAACCTCAGGATGCCATGCCTAATTCCATGGCAAAAATTAGAAGGACAGTGCAAGGGTTAGATTAGGCAAGTCAAAAATGCAGAGGCTGAGGCCAGATTTGCTGCTACTGTCCTAACACAGAGGTGTCACCCTCCTCCCACCAAACCAAAAAAGTTTGGCTCTCATCCTGCAGGTAAGAGACAGAGATAGGAGAATTGAACAGTCAGATGTGCTATTATTGGCTTAAGTGAATGGCTTTTCTAATGTCTGCAGTAAACCTCTTATCAAGAGCTGTGTTCCTGAATCTCTTCTGTTAACCTTCTAGTTCAAGCATTGCTCTGGATGAAGTCTGACAGGTAGGAGGGAAAGTACTGGATCTAAAGAATCTGTGATCTGATGCTCCACCTAGCACTCATGTTCTGTGCAGTTACTTTTAAATTTGGGGGGGAGGGGGGGCTTCATTCATATTTGAATTTCCCAGAAGCATACCAAACAGCCACCCAAAACTGTTGTATCTTAGTTCACCTCCTAAAAGCATCAGCATACATCATCCTGCCACAGCTGTATAGAATGCAGGAATGACAGAAGTTGATGACGTTGTTACACCTTGGGATAAACAACTGCACTGGAGAATCATATGGCATCAGTGACAGACACAAGCATATCATTGATTTACATTATGCAGATTTCAGGGAAATAATTAAAATGTGGTGAGATTATATAGGAAAAATTGTAGATGCAATCGTACAGTATTTTATTTAGTAGCGCTGAAAATAGGGAAAATTAACAGATGAAGCTTCACAGACTTCTATCACATTTGTCTGATGTTGTTAAAAGAAACAGTGGTTAATTTAAAATATCAGGTTGTCTAATTTAGCTTGATTTAACCATGTCCAAAAAAAAGAGCTAAATCCTCTACACTGGCCTTTCAGGTGAAACAAGTCTGGTCTAATGGAAAGAGCCATTCTTTTTATATCTTGTTTATATTTATTTTTTTTAGAGAAAAAAAGGCAAAGACAGAAAAATGAACAAAAACCTGCTTTCCAGACAGAAAGAGTCTAGTGACTGCCTGCCCAAAAAAGATGATTTGCAGACTGAACCTGTAACTTTTCCCCAGATTGTTTTTCTTGCCTGAAACTTCTCTGTTAAACCCTGCAAATTGGGTTAGGGTGCACCAGGCATGCTTCAATCATATTGCATGTAGTTCACTCTGTTTATTTTGGTATATTAAACAAAAATGTGCTTTCTGCAAATGTAAGCACGTAGCACACTGTGCAGAAACACACTATATGCCAAGAGGTCAGTTTGCTATGGTGACATCCATTCTAGTTGTTCAGCAGTAGCTCCGATGTGGTTGGCATTTAGCAGGTAGCAGGAATAGCCGAGTAAAATTAATCTGATGTTTTCTTCCAGTATTATTTAATTGGGGAACTGAATCAAGTATGCATTATGCACTGCAATATTGATGGAAAAGAAATGACCATGTCATGCTGTGGGAATTTAACCAAGTGAAACAAAAATTTTTAAAGCTTTTGAATTTTTTCAACAAGATAGGACACAGTCTGCAAATACAGTAAACACTTTTGAGGGAATCAGATTCCTTTAAATCCTACTGAGAAGGAAGGAAGGCTGGCTGTAATTATGTTGCTTCTGGATAGAATGAGATGACATTTGTAAACACTTTCCTTTTGTGAGGATAATCCTACCAAGTATCAGGCAGATAGATGCAAGGTGTTGTGTAAAAAGAGCATTTACAAATTTGGGGTAATAAACACAGAAATTAGTGTGCAAAGTTAATGAAAACTAGACAAGACAACTGCTTGGGGAATGAAGGGATTTTTTGTTTTTGGATGGAGTTACATAGCATTTACTCTAAAGTACACTGTTTAAGCAAATATTTTTCAATGCTTTCTTATGACCATTTGTAATTAACTGATGTATTACAATGGCCATTCAGTATTCTTTATTTTGGAATTATCACCTCTACTGCAAGCAGATGACCATTTGCTCAAACACACTATGACTGGAGAGACCCTATGATTAGAAGGTAGATGTGACCCTCTCCCTCCCCCCTCCCCCCCCATATTGGCATTTTTTCTTTTTTCTTTTGGCCATTGTTTGAAGATTTTTACTCAGTTTGGCAGAGATTACTCTACAGGGATTCCTTTTCATCCCATCAGGCATGGTTTTAGTCCAAAGCAGTTCAACTAGATTCAGGATCTGGCTGAAGTTATGGCCTACCTCTGTTAGAACCAATCAGATAGCAACGTTGAGGCCAGGAGGAATCCCAGCCAGCATTGTGGAAGCACTCGGCTTTTTGTTTTTGCCTGGACAGAAGCCC